AGACAAAGGTTTAAGGTGAGAGGGAAAAGATTTAAAAAGGACCTAAGGGGCAAATTTTCCACGCAGAGGGTGCAGCGTGTATGGAATGAGCTGCCAGAGGAAGTGGTGGAGGCTGGTATAATTACAACATTTAAAAGGCACCTGGATGTGTATATAAATAGGAAGGGTTTAGAGGCTTATGGGCCAAATGCTACCAGGTCAGTTTAGGATACCTAGTCAGCATGGACAAGCTGGCCAAAATGGTCTGTTTCTAGGCTATATGACTCCATACCAATCCTTCAGAAGGGCATCAGTACCTATGAAATCTTGGAGCTTGCATTCTTTTAACACCTTGAAAGGAAGAGAAACTCTCTGAAAAGTATCCTACCCTATCCCCATAAGCCTGCATTTAGTGTGGCCAGTCCACCGAGCCTGCACACCTTTGGACTGTGGGAGGAAACCCACGCAGACACTGGAAGAACGTGCAAACTTCACACAGAAAGTTGCCTGAGGGTGGTATCACACCTGGGTCCCTGATGCTATGAGGCAGCGGTGCTAACCACTGAGCCACTGTGCCACCCCTGTCATGGCTACAATCTGCCTTTGACACTGCTGCAAATCCTCACAGATCTTAGTACCACGAACTGGGTTTTTTCGAGCATTAACATTAGTGGATGTCATGAGTCAGGAACGGAGAATATTTCTCCACTGGCAGTTTTCTGACATTGATTTGAAAATGAAACCCAAGGATTTTCAGTCCCACAGAGTCTGCGATAAAGAGATGAAACTGCAGGCTGTTCTCAAACTTCCTCAATCGCCTCCCATACAATTATGGAGCCTATTCAAGTGAATGAACAACTGGGCCAGCACAAATGACTCAACTATTCAAAGATTTCATGGAATAACATATCTTCCCACCTTCACTCAATTGTGTTCTGGTGGTATAAACAGAAACAGAGAAAATTTACAAGATAGAGGAGACATCCTTACCCATTGGGCAGAGTTTTCTGAGCCGTCCCCGAAATGTTTCAAAGGGTGAGGGAACTTAAGTGGATGAGAAGTACAGGGTCAGTTACCCAATGGTGGGGTAAACCTTTGCTAATTAGCTCTCTGAGCTATCCAGGCAGATTGGGGTTCCCAACCCACTCGCTTTGAATTCATTCGCGAACCATGAACGCTCATTGACACCTCAGCTCCATGGAATTATGTTCCTGGGTGCAATTTTCTTTAGCAAAACTGGGAAAAATGTCTGTTGACAAACATGACTCTAAATATGAGGTGAGAATCTGGCAGGGCAGACTTCTTCCTCCAAGCTACAGCGAATCCAAACTTCTCCTGGCACTTGGTTCCATTAAGGCTAAGGTTTCTTTGTGCGAATGCTCAGAATGTTGGGAATGAGGCCTCTCAATGTTGATCATCTCATCAGAAGTCTCAGTCACGGGCAATCTGACTTCTTGTTGTCGCACAAACACTGACAGAGCTCAGGACGAAGCCTCACCAGGCCAATAGACTTGTCCAAGTAAGGCAGCCATGATAGCTGATGCCAGCCATTCTGACTGGGACAGGTGAGCAAGGCTCCACTCAAAGGGCACTCAGTTCAAAAGAGGCTGCCTTTTCATGGTTGTAGCTTTGCCCCAGGCAAGCCTTTGGTCAGAGTTATCAGAGGTATGTGCTCCCTTCATTGTGGTGAAGAAGGGTCACCGGACCCGAAACGTTAAGTCTGTTTTCTCCTTCACAGATGCTGCCAGACCTGCTGAGCTTTTCCAGCAACTTTGTTTTTGTTTCTTAACTCTATAATGGTAAAAGTGTGCATCTAAACATCCTCTATGTAATTCTAGTGCATGTATATCTGAGTGATTTCTTGTCTTGACTCATTCAATGGATTATATGCTGGGCCAGCACTGATTGCATCAGTGTTCTGAAGAAGGGTCACTGGACTCGAAACATTAACTCTGTTTCTCTCTCCACAGATGCTGCCACAGCTGCTGAGTTTCTCCAGCAATTTCTGAGCTTGTTTCAGATTTACGTCATCGGCAGTATTTTACTCCAGTCTTTATTGTCTGGAGAAGGTGGGCGTTCCTGAAATCGTAGTGCAGGAATATGATGCAGACACACTTTTATCAGATGCTTTCAGTGGTGGGGGTGGGGGAGGTGGGGGTGTGGGGAGAGAAGCAGTATGGTAACTCAGTGGTTAGCACTGCTGCCTCACAGCGCCAGGGACCTGGGTTCAATTCCACCCTCAGGCAACTGTCTGTGTGGAGCTTGCACGTTCTCTGCATGCCTTCATGGGTTTCCTCTTCATGCTCTGGTTACCTCCCACAGTCCAAAGATGTTCAGCTTAGGTGGACTGGCCATACTAAATTTCCCGTAGTGTGCAGGGATGTGTAGATTAGGTGTGTTAGCCATTAGAAATGCAGGGTTACAGGGAATGGGTGTGGTGCTCTTTGGAGGGTTGGTGTGGACTTCTTGGGCCGAAGGGCCTGTTCCCACACTGTAGGGATTCAACGACTCTTCATTCCAACATTCTATTCTATGATTATCCTCATCCTAATAACCCAGGTTGGAGAGTTTCCAATTTAAAATAAATGTACCAACCAAAAAACCCAACCAGAACTCATAGAGAGTGCAATTACAGTTGATTTGTGAATCAGTCTATTTATTAGCTCACAAAACTCTTCCAATGCTTTTGAGGCATGTTTAAGAAACATAGCAAAGTTTATAAATAGAAGTTTATCACCAGGTCTTCATACTTACTTCACCCGAGAATACCACTAATTATTCAAAACCTTAATTTGCAAATTGGCTTTATTTTGGGTTTGCAACTGTTAGTTTGAATATCACACAACAGTAAAATTGTTAAGATTACTTTAATAACAGGTCATATTATTAAAATGACAGTCTAATTATTCTAATTTAGCTACCATTAAATAATGTTTAGTTATAATTGGACTCAGTACTGTCTAATTAACATGTAATGAAGATGGAATGTTGACAGTTATTGAGAAGTTTCATGAAACACATTCACAGAATTACTTTTTGCACTATTGGTGTAATAACACCATCAGAGCAATGGGCTAGATTTTTACTCACATAACTGTCAGTTGTACAGGACTCCTTAATTGGTCAATCTTTCACTAGGTACACCGCATGGAACAGGAAGTGGCGTTGTGGTAATGTCATGCAGATAATAAACCAGAACCTCAGGGTAATGTTCTAGGGACA